CTACGTGCTAACACAACACCTGTAGGGATAAACGCACCTCTCAACCAACCACGTGAAGACCAAACAAGTTTTTACGTACAGGTTACCTTGCCAGCAGCAGCAACAGTGCCTCACAAATAATATCGCCTCACTTTACTCCAAAGCCCCGCCCAATGACGTCAATAGACAGGAAAAATTTATTCAATATAACACATAAGTAGCGCCATACTTATCCTTCCCCTGGGCACCTCCGGGAAGTAATGCTTTCACCGGTCACACGGGTCTTGTCCACACAAACTTATAAATAAATATATAACGTAATAGATTTTTTATCAGCTGGTTTCTGGATCTATTTTACTGAGGCTTCATGGTAATGACCGTGGGTTGGTGACTCTTGGTGGGTGGGTGCTGTTTATGTAATATGATTAAGACTAAAAACATTCTGGATTCTTTTGGAAATTATTTTTTTTTTGCTGGTATTCCTACAGTTAGTGCATAATACACATGATATTAGTGAATTAGTTAAAGTTAAGACTTCTTTTTTTGACAGGTCGACCAAGGTAACATGACGTCTCTTCCTAGTGCGTGTCACTGACGCGGTTATTAAAGTCGCCCGAGTGTTATAGAGAAAATCTCCATCCATTGTACCACCTCACGCCAAGGTGACTTAAAATGCTGAATAAGCTACCATTAATCAGCATAAAGCTTATATAATCTCTTATTCTAAGCCAATCATATAACAACTTGCAACTGGAAAGACACATCTGGAATTTGTTTTTTAATGTGAAAATGTTGATAAAAAGTCCACCATAATGATGTATGTCGTGTGGAGAGAAGGTTCTCCTGCCAGTACTGACTGAAGGTAAGACTGTATCGTGAGGCAGTTGACGATCTTACAGGAGTTGTTCGGGAGAGATAAATTTTTACAGCATTTGATGTTGCCATGGTTTTGGTATATCGGTGTGGTGTAAGAGTGGATTATATTATATAAAGCAGTGGTTCTCAACCTTGTTTGCCCCATGCACCCCTTTCACCATATGTCAGAATGTCATTCCCCCCCTCCTTTCCAAGATTGTCTGCCTCAAAAAGCGCATTCCAAATAATATGCATATAATACTGAAAATCCTTTATTTTTTCCATATTAGTACATATACATTTACAATTTTGCATGGATTATTTTTATAGTGGAGTTTTACAAATTAAATGCCAATTGAAAATGTTGATGGATTTATAAAACTTGAATAAAAGTAAAATAGTTTTTTTTTTATTTATAATGAATTACTTAACAGACCAAACTGAAGCATAATGCAATAAACAAAAAGTTCAATAGAATACCAGGATATTGTAAATTTATAATTAATTTTATTCGGATGAAGATTACAGTCAATGAGAAACCTGTGATTGTTTTTTCTTCGCCAATTCTGGGATACGCGGAGGAGTGCTTGAAAGGGCACAACGCAGGTCATTTTTCTACCTCTAATCTACTACGTTGCTTCGTTTTAATTTGCAACAGAGTTTAAAAGCCTGACTCACAAAGATATGTCGACACAAACGGAAGCAATGCACGGATAGCTCTTTCTGCCACTTTTGGGTAGGAATCGCACATCAAGGGCCAAAATTCTGTGATTGATTTCTCATCGAACATATCTCTTGCTCCCGAATCAGTTTTCCCCCCCTGAAAACCTGAATTCCCCCCTGGGGGGAATTCCCCCCTGGTTGAGAACCACTGATATAAAGATTATAATATGCAGTGGTGGGCACGGTTCCGCTAATCTGCTAACCGCTAATTAGTGAAGCTAACTTTCTCGTCAGCGGATTAGCGTTTTCGCTAACTTTGGAAACCTTTAGCTGACCAATTAGCTTCCGCTAAATTTAGTTCCGGTAACTTTAAGACCGATTACAAAATTTATACACGTTTGTTCCTGTCTGTTGTAAGCGCGTGACGCCGTGACGTGTCTCCAACAGGCAGTCAGGCACGCTTGGCTGACTGTGTGTTAGTATGTGTAAACATCCAAGGTGTGCGCCAAACAAAATTTTCTAAAAACTTACTTTTCATTAAAGTTTAGAGTTTTCTGTTTATTTACATGACTAAGACCAACAATAAGTTATATAAAAATGCAACCTATGCTATACAGTACTATAGTTTTTGGATTCGTTTAATACTTTCTGTCTTTTCGTACAGTAAATAAAGATTATAAAGTGTATGTTGAAACTTGAATGTAAACTAATGTTTAATTTAATTTGTTCATTTAATTATTTGTGTACACCTTGATCATCATCTGATCTTGGCATGCTATACCTTTTTGGAAAGCTCTATGTCTAAGCTACAAGACAACATATGAAAATTTCAGCTCTAGGTCTGTTTTAAGGGTTTTAGAGCCACCCCCCCCACCCCCCCCCCAAAAAAGAAGCTAAATTCATATAATAAAAGTTAGCGGTTAGCGTTAGCTTCCGCTAATTTTTTTAGCTGTTTAGCGGTTTAGCGTTAGCGAAGTTAACTTTTTAGTTAGCAGATTAGCGGTTAGTGAAGCAAACTTTTCGTTTAGCTATGCCAACCACTGATAATATGTTGTGTTTCTTATTTCTTACCGTAAAATTCGATACCTTCACACTGGTTACTTATAGGAGATTATGGCGTATCTACGTAGAAGTTCACTCCACCATTCGACATTCCATGATTTATACTTGATAAATGATGATTTAATGAATTCCATTAATTTCCAACATCCATCTAAGTTATTGGTTATACTTTGTCATAACCAATCAGTCATTACCTTGAGTAATAATAAGATAGGATCACAGATACGGGCAGATAATTGCACTTACATTTATATGTCAAGCTTCCATACAATGATTTACAATTTGAATGGATATATGAGTCACTCACGTTCACGCTGTAATAGATTAATCTTCTAAAAGAGGGAATTTTCAACTTGGGAACACATGTGATTACTGTACTATGGGTATGACTTAACAGAGTCTTAATTCTTCAAGTGATACATTTACTGCCAGCCTGGATTGCTTTTGTTGCAACCAGGCTTCCGCACGTGATATTTCCACGGGGATAACAAACCTAGGTTAACACACTTAATCTTGTGTCGACGATTTTCCACAGGACGGAGTGGCGGTGGAGGACTCCGTGTAGTGTCCCGCTCCCTTCAGGAGGGAGAGGATGGGCGATGGGGACATCTTGGCTAACCTATGGCCAAGGGGATACTACTTAAAATGAGGTTTTGGGGTATGAGGGGATGAACAGTACAACACTGTCTCACTGGCCTCCCCATAAAGGCTGGCTAACATACCACTAATGGAAAATATATGTCCCAGTTATGCCTCGCCGGGTGCCTTATCTCTAGTAAAAAAAACTTTGGAGTTGGTTGCGTGGGTAAGCCTAACGCAACCCATGACAGATGTCTTGTATGGTGACCAGTGAGCAATACATTATCAGATGTAGTCTTGTCTCAGATGTAGTCATGCACTGAACTACTGTGTTTCTGAAGTAATTCTCTTAACGTCTTCATTTGGGATTTTGTAAACTTTCCAATATATTTTTTAACATCATAATTATGTTGTTTTGTCTATATAATTTTCCTATATAATTTTTTAATGGGCAGCCCTTCTTTAATATGACTTCAGCATAAATTAGTTTAAACTATTACGACAGCAGATGTGCTAAATGTTAGGAATCGATCAACCAGTCAATTCCGGGACTCCTGAGTTAAGTGAGAATGATGAGCATTTAACCCAAGGGTCCAAGACTGACCATAGTATTGCGCTACAGAAGCCCTGGACACATTAGGCGCTAGTGTGTGTGTCACGGGAGTATGTGTGGAGCTTGAGGTAAAAACAACGTTCGTGGGTAATACTGGACCAATGATAGGAATACACTTTATTCTTAATGTACAATTTAATAAATAAATAAAATATATACATAAGGTCTGTAATCAATCAGTGAAATTAGTTAACAGTCAGCAAGACAAACAAACAATTACTTCACATATCACTGGAGTAAATCTTATTTTTTAAACAATTACTTCACATATCACTGGAATAAATCTTATTTTTTAAACAATTACTTCACATATCACTGGAGTAAATCTTATTTTTTAAACAATTACTTCACATATCACTGGAGTAAATCTTATTTTTTAAACAATTACTTCACATATCACTGGAGTAAATCTTATTTTTTTAAGTGCAGATAAACATTTTCTTACACCACTCATCACTAACACAACCTTAATGAAAGCAAAAATAATGTTATAAACAATAGTGTCCTTGGGGGCAGGTCAAGCACACCTTTAGCCTCAATCAGAAATAGAAAACTAGACCACTCCCGTCACCCTGAACCTCCCTCCTTTGAGAAACAAATAACATTAGTAGGTGGAAGTTAGCGTCAGGACTCACAACAAACTCAAGGTGTGGGTGGTGTGCCGCTCTCCACCTGTATCTCCCTTGTTCATCCAGATGACTTGACCAGGGTGGTCCTCTAACGGGTAATACGGAGGTCCTAGCTGGTGTGCTCGACCCTGTCCACACCCAACTCTCATCGACACGTAAAACCTCGGAGAGTCGGGGAAAAAAGATCACACCCGTTCACACACACACACACACACACACACACACACACACACACACTATTGCTAACGGGAACTGGATACCGGGCATTGCTTAATACAGTAAAACAAGTGGTAATCATACTGAAGATACAATAGTTAACTTGCTTTTCAACAAGTTTCTTTTCTTCCATTTCGGTTTGAACTGTGGGAGAGAGGGGAGAAAGGGTTAGATGTTTTGCAGTAACATTATACGTCACTTGTACCTTGACGGTGTTAGTGACAGAGGGAGCCTCGAGTGGACTGATACGGAAAGAAATCACCAACTTGTGTCCTGAATGGGAAGGTTACATTGCATCATACTACTGTACCTTTAAGTTCCGCAAATACTGGAATAGAAAGACGAGACATGACTGGTTATCTTATATTTCTTAAAACATTATCTCTTTAATAAATAGTACATCATTATATAACAGTAGCTACACATGCGGGGTATTAATTTAGGAAGAAAGGAGCATGGTGCATTATTACGAAGGCCAGCGTGAATCCTGTAGGTGGTAGTGAGAATGTGAAGTGTTGTGAGCGGCGTTGCCAAGGTCTATCACCACGGCCTCATCTCAAGGAAGCCTCCGAGCCTCCTCTCTGACCCGGAAACCTCCTTATCACTCAGTCTGGTGCCGTAACGCTCCATTGCCCCACGCTCCTTCAGGACCCAAAGTATTCCCGGTACTTCAAGCTTGTTGGTTCTCAGTGTCGGTTGACTATTTCGCTAAAGGTAGTCATTGGGTTAAGTTTCGTAATAAATTTACAATCAGCGATGTCTCTTGGAACTGTGAAGGCTGGATCCCAATCAGATTGCTTTGGGAGACGACCAAAAGTAGTGATGTCATTAGGGACTGGAGACTCAATTAAGCTTAATGTGTCCCCTTCAGGATGTTCTCTGTTGTAGAGGAGCTGCTGTGTTGTAGTGGAGCTACGATACTTTTGGGTTAAGGTTCTTCCTCTTGAAAATTTGAGGATACGAGCAATAAATTTGACAATGAGGTAGGAGGGCTGTTTAAAAATTCTCTTGACGTTTTTATCTTCTTTTTTGGAGTTCACTTCCAGATGCTTCGTCCACTCCGCCGACGTGAGGGGCATCAGCTCCGTCAGACTGGACAGGGAGAAAATATTGTTTGTTAATAAAATCATTGAGATACTATACGAAGGAGCATAATGTTAACGTAAGTCGTATGAGCATATAGTTTGTACTGTAATATAACAAGATAGGCGGACCAAGAGATCGTTATCACATCTCACATAACATAGGTGACGAACTTTGTTGATTAAAGATAACATTATAGGTATTGGGCTTATTATATTCAAGACAATCTTATGTTATGTTGAGGTCCTCGGTCACCTCACTCACCATTGACCAGGTCTTCTCATCCTTCGTGCTACTCTGGAGATCAGAATTGAGATGAGTGTTCAAGCTTAAAGTGGCGGGGAGGCGACGTTACTTCAGGATGTATATACTGTTCAGGTGTGGATAAGGGGAACACCCGCTGGTCGGAGTCCCTTGCTTGTTGACGGAGACAGTTCAGGCTGGGGGGACACCAGGAACTGTGATTGGTAGCTGACGTAGACAGTAGCTCTCTCTCTCTTTTTATAACAACGAATCGTGATATTTCTTATATGATCGAAGCTCAAGTTACGAGAGGACTGAGACCGGCTGAACGACACCTGGGAATCGCTATCTGTGTGCATCCTCCTTTCCCATAACCTCCTCGATCACTCAGGGAAACTTACAGTCGAATGAGGGCAGACGCGTGTCACAGGAAACTTTTATTTAGAGGAATCATTATCTTCCTCCAGGCGCCGTGCTTGAGAACGTCCTTCGTTTGTCAACACTAATCTCCATCTATCACTGTGTTCAATGTCTCAGTGCTACATCAAATTAAAATGTTCAGGAGTTAACAATGTTCTCACGAGTGTTATTTTTTCTGTATTCAAATTAGTGAGTCATTGTGTCTAAATATAGTACAAGGTCAGAGCTCCGAGCTGCGTTTGTATGAGACGTCAGCAGCTTGAAGGGCAACCACCACCACCACCACCATCACCAGGTGTTATGGTCCTCCTTGAGCACCACTCCTCTCCTTACAACATATCCTGTGACAAATTCCTTACAAAATTGCAAAATAGAAACACACACACACACACACACACACACACACACACACACACACACACACACACACAAAACACACACACAAAACACACACACACACACACACACACACACACACACACACACACACACACACACACAAAACGCACACACACACACACACAAAACACACACACAAAACACACACACACACGTACACGTGGGGATAAACGCATCCCATAACCACGTGAATGTAAAATAACTTTTTTTGTGAACATTCGATCCCGGTGGAGTAAAATCGCCTGAACAGCGATGATGATGATAATGGAGATAAAATGGCAATGGCTTGCCATGGGAAGGGAGAGAAGAGGTAAGGTAGAAGGAAAGTTATGAAACGGGAAGTAAAGTAGTAGAGAATAAGAGCAGGTGGGCTATCCACCTAGCAGAGACGATTTGATTGGCTGTGGTGAAGGCCGCACTAAGAGGTCGCCTGAGCTCGAGGGAACAGGGGGAGGAGGCTAAGCTAGCTAGCAAGGGGTTGTTTGTTATTGTGTTAGTTGGAGAGGTCTACTAGGTCCTTGTGTAACTAGTAGAAAACTCTCATCTTTTATCTTATTGGCGTCAAGGAGTTATTTATGCTGTGGTGTATAATTGTGTAAGCTGGAGAGGTCTGCTAGGTCCTTGTGTAACTAGTAGAATACTCTCATCTTTTGTGTACTATTTAGTGTACAATAGTTCTGGCTCTTGAGGGTTATGGAGAAGGCTTTTTGGCCACCAGCTGTGTGATCTTGTGGTGTCCTCTGTTTTTAGTCAATGGTATATTTCGTCTTCCATTACTTCTAGTTTGTACCATACTGTCTGTGCTTGGCTGTATGTTCTTATGTTCAATGGTAAAATATTGTATTTTTCGTGAAGCTCTTTAATTTTGGTTGTGTATGAGGGACGTTGTTTGGAGGCTCTGCGGATGGCTTTGTTCTGTGTTGCCTGAAGTTTTAATTGGTTGGTAAGGCTGATCGTGTTTAATGGTATTGGCGAGTATTCAAGATGGGGGTGTACAAGTGCTTTAAATAGGTGTAGTTGTATTTTCTCTTCTATTTTGCCGAATCTTCTTAATTTGGTAAGCTGTATTTGGGCTAGTCTATTGCGCTCTGTTATGTGTTTATTTATTCCGGTTCTTGTTATTGTTAGCCCCAGTATTTTTCCTTCGTTTGAGTATTGTATTTCTTCGTTGTTTACTGTGATTGGTGCTGGGTTTATCCTTGAAATGTGTATGATTTTTAGTTTCTGTGTATTAGTTTTTATTTTCCATTTCTTCTCGTAATTATTTATTTGTATTATGGCGCGAGCTGTTTTTAATGCCATCATCTGTTTGGCCTTGCCTGGATGGCGGATGATCTGGGTGACATCATCAGCATAAGCGATGTATTCACCGTGAATTGGTGGTGGCATGTCTGAGGTGTAGATTGTATAAAGAGTTGGGGATAAATTACTTCCTTGTGGTACTCCACTATAAAGTCTGAAGCTTGGGCCTTTGTGATTGCCTATTATAATGTGTGCTTCTCTATTGTCCAAAAGATTACACAGTAGAGAGGTGAAGTTGTTGGGGAGTTCTTGATTGGTTATTTTATATTTAAGTCCCAAGTGCCAGACCTTATCGAACGCTTTTGCCACGTCCCTTAAAACTATGTTGCACTGTTCTCTATTATGCATTGCGTTTGCAATACTTTCGTATATAAGGGCTATGGCTGTGTTTGTTCCTCTGTGTTTCCTGAATCCGTGTTGTCTAGGGTTGTATTTGTATTCCAGTTCCAGGTGTGTTCTTAATCGGTGGTTAATTATTTTTCCAAAATTTTTCCCGGTGTTTCTAAGAGAGAGATTGGTCTGTAGTTTTCTACTGCTGTGGGGGCTTTTCCCGGTTTTGGTATCAGTCTGATAATTGCTATCTTGAATTTCTTTGGGTAGTAGCCTGAAGCTATGGATGCATTGAATATATTTCTTAGTAGAAGTACCATGTTGCTTGGTAATTGCTGTAAAATGAGTTTATTTATTTTGCTGATTCCAGGAGCCTTGTTCTTAAAGCTATTGATTGTTCTTACTATTTCGTCCACCGTGATTGGTTTGTTTAGTGGGGACGTCATCCAGTGTATTCAGGTCGATCGTGGGGCTCGGTTGCCAAATATGGGTTATTTGCGACATATGGTTGGATACTTCCCTCTCTGTGGTCATGCAAAAGTTTAAGTTTTCTTCGTTGGTGATTTGAAAAATCTTACTCCAGAAAGATCTAAATTCCGGTTCTTGTTCGGTTGGTTCTGTTAATTTGACTTGATTACTATTTATTATATAGTTTGACTCGTTGCTGGAGGTTCCCATTAAGTGCTTTATTTTCTGCCAGAACTGGTTCAGTTTATGGTAGTTTCCTTCCGTTTCTGAAATCAGCTTCTGCCAGTTCCTGTTGTATGCTTCTTTTGATATCTTTTTTAGTTGTTTGTGTATTATGTTGTATATGTTTCTGCGTTCCGGTGTCCATCCTTGCTGTGTGATTAGTTTAATTAGGTTGCTAAATTGTGTGTGTATGATTCTTGATTGGTGTGAGTATTGAGGGTGTGGTAATGTTCGGTAAGTGGTCTTGGGTATGTTGTGTTCCATGGCCTGGCTGACGTGCTCATACCATATATCCAGTGATTGGTCTATTAGAGAAGTGTGCCCGTTGTGTAATTGTATGGGTTGCGGGTTATTTAATTCTTGTTTGAAGTTTTCCCAGTTAGCCCGGTTATTGTTGAATCTTAGCCTGGCCGGGATCTGTATTGGGGCTGTGGAGAGTGTGGCTATGATAGGGAGATGATCACTAGTGGATATTGGGCCGGGTTCGAGTAGTATGTTTAGGTGGTGGTGTTGATTTGTTAACACGAGATCTGGGTATCCTGTGTGGCCTGCTCTGATGTACGTGGGGGAATTCCGGTCCGAGGTGTACCACGTTGCCGTGGCTCACTAGTGTGTTCAGGACCTGGCCTACTGCGTTGTTGGTATGGTGTCCTAGTATGCGGTGTCTAGCGTTGAGATCACCCAGAAAGTAGGCAGGTATGTTCCTCCTCATCAATCTGAGCATGTCTGCGATTGGAAAAATTGGTCGTCTTGGAGGGAGGTAGCAGGTGCCGATTATGATTGGACCCGTTGTGCTGTTAATTTCTATTGCCAGAAAGTTTTCTTGGAATGTATCGTGGATTTTATGTTTTATGCTTCTTTTAATTGCTATGGCAACTCCATCTTGTAAAGGATTTTGGCTGTTTTTTTGGTATACTGTGTAATTAAATATCTTGATTTTATTTGAATTATTCCTGCCGTGAGAATTTAGTATGATGACGTCTGGGTCTAGGGTACGATATATGTTGTATAATTCGTGAGCTCTTGTATGTGTCCAGGCCAGGACATTATGTTGAATTATTTTAAGTCTGTTGATTATGAATGGTGATGTCTCGAGCTTGTTTGCGGCATTTTGGATGAACGATGTTCTCCTGAAGACCTCCTCTCCGTGTGCAGGCCGAGGCGAATTTTCCTGTATTTGGATTGCTCCACCTTTTCTATTCTATTATATTTGGTCAGGATTCTCCCTCTCTTTATTAGTGTTTCTATATGGTGATCTTCCATATTCGTATCTGTATATGTATATTTTACTTTTCCTTCCCTTATCTCCGCCAGTAGTCTCTCGGTTGAGAGTATTTGGGGGGCTGAGCAGGTGTAAAACCTGATACCGGTTTCCTCCCCGAAGTCCTGATTCTCAGTCATTTTTCTTGGTGACGGTGGTGGTGCCACAATTCCCGTTTTGGTCTTTTTAGGGGTGCTATATACGAACGCTTGTTCAGGTTGTATAACAGGTTCATGTTGTGAAATGGGTTCCTGCTCCTCTTCGTCTTCTTCTATTCCCTCTTCGCTACTTTCTGATTGGGGGAGTTTGTCGGTAGTGGCTTGTGATTGGGTGACTTGCGCCTGACTGGTGGTTTCCGCTGGTTTATAGATCAGGTTAAAGATTTCTGATGAGGGGACGTCGTTGGGGAATTCCATGTCTGGGAGGTTATTTGCCGCAAACATTTCCTTTACCCTTTTAGCAAAGCATCCTGGTTTGGCAATATTCAAGAGGTGGGCGTGTATTATTGCCGTCATGATTTTAACCGATAGTTGACTTCCCAGGTTGAGCACTATAGGTTGAGCTGGGGGTTGTGAGGCTACCTTTTCAAGGACTTTAGTTGTTTCCTTTGTTAATTTGGTTACAGCCGAGTAGGTCCTGTTTTGCTTTTCCTGTGCTCTTTCCTTTTCAATTTTCCTCCTTTCCTTTACA